CACACACACACACACACACACACACACACACACACAAAAAATCTTGTTTAGCGCTAGTTTTTCTGATAAAGATTTACTTATATATATGTAAATTCGTTATAAAAACCTAGAAATGGGCAAAGAGGGTCCGCAGGCGTCCGGGGGACCGGATCTGATAAATTTTTGCATTCTAGACATCAAAATTACTGCTCAGATTCTCTCAGAATCCACCAATTTTTTTAAAAAATCTCTGGGGGGAGGTATCCCCCCCCCTAAGTGGCCTTCGACGGCTTTTTAAAACACCAGAAAAAGTAGGCAGCAAAAAGTGCCCTTTATTTCTTTCTGGACACCCCTTTTTCAAAAATCATGGATCCGCCCCTGGTGAGCCACCCGCGCGGGGGTCAGGGTCGAGCGAGGGTCATGGTGGAGAGAGGAGAGTTCAGTGTTCTCCGTCTCAGGGCGAGCCACGTGCATTCGTTAGAAGCCGGCACACGCGGCGAAGGTATTTTGCCTTGTATGCCCGTGTGCTGCTGTAGGGACGTAGTTTGTAAGTTATAATTTATAGTAGAAATAATCAAGAAGACGTATAGAATTTGTGTTCACTAAAGAAATATATTGTTTACAAAAAAAAGTCAAAGTCGCGTCGTCCAGTCTCTCCCCGTCCAACCGTCCCGTTCAAATGACCTGCAGCCCTTATATATCAACCCCGCATCCAATCACGGCCCAGTTCCACTCTACCCCAGCCAATCACACACACCAACACTCGTATTCGAATTATTGCGTGCGGAATGCACATATGGCCAGCATCTGTACAAGTGTCAACCTAACGTCTGTAACCTATCTGCTAGTACCCAACCTAACTATTTCTATGCTAAACGGTCGATCCTAACCTATGCCTCTACATTTACTAATTCAATGTGACATATGTAAAACATATGTTACACTGCAGCTTGCTACGACTCAAAGTGATTTGGTCCTCATCTTATCTCTCTCTCCATACTATTCACTCATAGGCCAAGTACTTCCAATACCTGAAACGTTGTGAATAGTCTGGGGTGGGCATTTGGGAGTAGGGAGGATAAGAAAGTCTACTCCCGGATTGTCTTGCATCTCGCTCGTAACGGCGATTAAGATGAGGCCGTCTGCGTCGCCACGGTTACGCTAATCGCTCGCTCGCTCGTCTGCGTTTCAGAGCACGAGATGGAGTCGCACCAGGAGATCGACGTTCAAGATCCCACCGTGACGTCGTTCTACCAGCAGGAGGAGCCACCGACCACGTACGTACCTCCTCCGTGCGCGTCGGCGCGCTAACAGATATATTGATGTATCGCGATACAAACCAGGGCCTAATCCAAGCCATTTTTAATACCGAATACCGGCCGCCCAAATTACTACTCCTAGCAAAGCGCCCAAATTACACATTTCATAAAATGCCCAAATTAGCAGAGCTCTGAAAATTGTGTAAAATTAAATCTCCATGTTTCTATCGTTGTGTGGGCGCTGTTTTATAATAAAATGTTCATATAAGATTTATAATCTATTATCTGATTAAAATTTTAATGTTATACATCTACCGGCCCCATACATAAAAAATATTTTCGGCTCGCTGCGCTCCCCAAATGATTTTTTACGCTTTCTACGTTTGCCCATATTATCAAGCAGCTACATTAGCCCCTGTGTCCACGGGGCTTTTTTTCCGGCCCCGTTAAATTTTGACGATTCCGAGAAACGAAAGTCGAATCGAGAAAGAACACGGGTTGTGGTGTAGTAGCTTCCGGGGAGTACTGTTTCTAAAACACCGGACGTCTTAAAACACCGGCTAACAAAGCTTTTATTATATAATTCATCAGTTTAAAAAAAATCTGCCCCGTCTAGAGAAAATCGCCCCAGTCGAGTAAATGACCGGGGCCTTTTTTGGCCCCGTGGTTTTCTCAGACGACGAAGCCTACTCTACATCGTGCCATGCTTGATCGACCCAGCGTGTCGTTACCTTTACAGGGGTGGGAGCCGTTTCGTGCTCAAAGTAGAAGAATGTGACGCCATCTAGTGATAGGTGTTTTAACTGTTATAATAAATATAACATAGTAACGTATATAACTGTTGGCCTCGCATTGCGGGTTTTGTGATCTAGTGAAGTTTCTAAGAAGTCCGAACAACTAAGTGATTGGTCTCGTCAAGAAGTGGTGTTCGTAGTCGGTGCGCGTCGGCTTTAGACACGCCTCTTGACCGTAGTGGTCAAGCTGACCGTTCCACGTGCCTGCGTGTCGAGGCACGGCTAAGCCTAATCGTTTTACGAGCGTGGTTGCTTTCGCTTATCTGTATTGTCGTCCTTGAGCTAACGAGCGGTTTACATTCTTAATTACTTTTCTTAATCAACTTCTTTCCAACGCGCGGTTTATAATAACTTTAGCTTCATTACAACTAGTGATGTCACGATCATCGATTATACTCGATCATCGGTTGAACAGTGGCTCGAACCAAGCGCTTAGTGATGTCACGATCATCGATTATACTCGATCATCGATTGAACAGTGGCTCGAACCAAGCACTTGGTTATCAAAATCCATAATCGATTTCATCAAAAAAAAATTTTTTAATTAAACTTGAACAAGAAAACTTGGAAAAGTGATGAGAATCAGAGATATCATCGCTACTATACAAGTTATCCTTTATTAACATACATGAATTATACACACAGTAGTAAACAGTGCAAACGAAACAGTAAACAGGGCTAAACAAGCACACACATGCACACACGTACATGCACACGACGTTACGCACACGCAGGCATTCAACACCCCGAGTGACCGATTGTAACCGATCATCGGTTACTTGGGTCCAACCGATGATCGATTACGACATTACAACCGATTGACAACACTAGTTACAACTAACCGTGCGTTCTCTTGTTCTCCACAGCAACGGGACCGGGGGAGACCTAGAGGAAGCCGAGGGGGAGGTCCCCGCGGAGGAGCCGATGTCAATCGTCTCGGAGGAGGTCGTTCAGGACGAACCGAAGCAGGAGGCAAAGTTGTCGGAACATGAGAGCGAAACCCCTGCCGAGGAGCTAGGTGAGTGGGCGAGGGGGAGGGGGCGAGGGAA